ATGTCTCAAAAGGCCTCTATGTCAAAGAGTTGGCCTGGTCTCTGCTGCAATGCCATCAGGAGGTGGTAGAGCTTTTGGGAGGCAGGACCTGGGGACAGTACTTAGATCACTGGGAGCACATCCTCAGAGAGAACTGTGAGACTCAGTCTTTTCCTTTTTGCTCATTTTCCTGACTCACAAGGTGAGCAACTTTGCTCCACCATGTGTTCCCCCATGATGTGCCACACTTCTCCAAAGGCGCAAAGCATTAGGGCCTTTTGATGTTGGACTGGAACCTCCAGAACTGTGAGCCAAAATACATCTTCCTTCTTTTTAGGTTGTTTTGGGTACTTTCTTTTAGTGATGGAAAACTAACATAGAAGCTCCTCGTATATTCCTGTTTTTTGTTTGTGTGTGTGTGGGGGGGTTGTTTTGTTTTGGTTCGGTTTGATGTTTTTGCTTTACTGACCCTTAGATAAAAAGGTACAACTCTTAGCTTCTCCCAGGGGTCAAAGAAGTCTCTCCATTATTCAGCATAGCCCAATATTAAGGGACAGAATCACTTTCCCATTCTTTACCTCTGGCCATATCCTCTCGAATTATGCCAGACAGGAGCTATGAAAAAGCTGAATGCGAGGAAAACAAGCTTCTATTCTCAGATCTATATCCCAGTTATCATCTCAGATCTATATCTGATTGCAAACTGAACTGGACAAGAATTGAAGCAAATTTCCACATAAGGTCAAAATTGAGCTTAACCACTGAATTTGATTCAGTTCTCATCCAATTTGGTCTGTGACCAGAACTGTGGAAAGAAGCAAGGTTATGAACCAAGGTATCACTGTATATGACCTTGGACATGTTATAAATGTTTTAAGTCTTGGCTTCCCCATTTGAACAGCAAAGATAATGGTAGTATTTATCTAAAGGAGCATTTAGAGATTAAATGGAATGGAGTAGAATTTTGCACACAGAGAACTCAGTAAATATCCCTATCTCTCTTTTTCTTTTCCCTTGCATAAATGTAAGAGAAGAGTGATTCATTCTTGAGACCTTCAGTTACTAGTTTAGAATATCCAGTGATACATGTCAATAACTAGAAAAGCAATGATTACCTATAACACCAGACAGTATTTGGAGAATGTGCAACTCTATTAAATTAAAAATTTTCTTCCTGGAATTCACTTCCTGTGGAATCATGTGGATCAGTTTAACAATCCACAAGACAGCTACAAGTGACTGTTAAAAACCTGAGGATCTTTGGTGTGAAAAACTATAATAGTACACAGGATCCTAATGAGATAATTAATAATGTGATATAGGAAGTAAAGGGCTAAAGGTGTAGGGAAAGTGGGAAGGGTGGGGGAAAGGTAATAAGGGAGAGGAAAAATTATGAGAAACTGAAAAAATGGAAATAAAGTGTTTGTAAATGGGGAGGGGAGGAGGGGGTGAAGGGAGGGCAGGGACAAGGGGAAAAAATGAGAATCAAGACCTATTATGTAAAGGTACAGAATCCCAATGATGAATGTAATTGTATTGTATACCTAGATTGTACCAATAACCTCAATAAAAAGAAAAAAAAAACCCTGAGGATCAAGTCCTCCATTGACTGTCCTGTGTGTCCTCCAGAGTCCAAGGGAAGATGTTGCATGTAGGAAAGTGGGAACAGGAGGCCTTCAACATGACTACTCTGCTCCAGTGAGTGATCCTAGTTGCAGAGAAGTCTGATTGGCTTCCTAAGAATGGATTCAAGTTTCATTGACTCAATGGCTCAACCAACCATTTTGCTGGTATTTCTGCAGTTTTGGAGTTAGGTAGAAAAAATGCATTAGAAACCAAAGGAAATTTTGCAGTGCTTCATTAAGGCACATGAATGTTCATCTGACTTTCCTCATAGAGACTGTAGTAAAACGGGATTATGGAGTGACTTTATTGCTAAGCTTTACTAAATTTGCAATTTTAAAAGTTTATCTTACATGGAAAAGTTCATGGTTCTTTTAACTGGAAACACTTTGTGTCTTCAAAAACTTTGTAGAGTAACTGCTTTGAGAAGTCATTTTATATAAACTTAAGGGCTTCCTGGTGAGGAAAAGCTGTTTCAGAAGATGAACAGCTTCATTTATTTTTCTGAGGAGGATAAAATATTATTCCTTTATGAAAAAGATAGTCACAGAGGTTCGTGCTACTGACAGAGACAGCCAACATAACTAATTATTCTCTTTTCCCTTATGTTGTTTATTAAAAAAAAAAAAAAAAAGAAGTAAAGGAAACAGAAGATGAACCAGAGGGGAGAGCAAAGAAGCTCTATATTTAGTCCTGTTAGTCAGGCAGTGTAAAGACACACTTATGGCTGTGGCCAAGGAAAGCCATGGCAGATGGGTAAACTTTTGATATTATAATAGCCTTAAATCCTTGATTTGTCCCAATAAAATATTTTAGGAAAAATGGCAAAATGACATGAGTTAAAGAGAAACCATTTTTGATATCTGATGATACAAATCAGAATTAGATTGAGCACTGACAGATACCATGTGCAAAAAGATTCTTGATTTTACCTAAGTGATTTCTTTGAATCTTGTAACTTTTCATATATTTGTCATATCATTTCAAATAGTTATTTTTAACATTGGCTATTTAAATAAGGAACTTTGTTTTTGTTTTAAAAAAATAAATAATGAGGTAATAAATACTAGGGCAATCTTGCTAGCTCAGTTGTCTATACTTAGGATTTTCAGGTGGTTTTAACCATGAAGTAGATGATTAAGAAATCAAGGGTATGAAGGAAAATTTAAGAAAGCAATCAACTACATTGCTTTTTCTTTGAAAAGGGCTGTTGTAATATGTTTTGTATTGCTGCTATAAAATATTTGAGGATAGGTAACATGTAAAGTAAAGAAGTTTATTTTGTTTACAATTTGGGGGCCTGGAAAATCCAAGCAGTATGGTGCCGATGTCCTGGGAAGAGCCTGCTATTTGTATCACAATGTGGAGAGAAACAGAAGGGAAACTGGATTCATGCAGAAGGGACCAATCCATTCTTTCAGGAACTAATGCAGCCACACAAAACCTAACTCACTCCTGGGAGAGCACTAACCCATTCATGAGGGTGGAACCCCCTCACGAGTCCAGCTCTTAAAGCTTCCACCCCCTCAACAGCGCCAGAGTTCATAGGAACTGTTTCCAGCACTACAGCCTATGGAGACAAACTCTATCCAACACACAGCAAGAGGAAAACTGGATTCATAGCATGCTAGACAGTTTTAGTTGTTTGCCTCTTATTATCTTATTTGTCTCTTAGTTCTTGTTTGCCCTTGATTATCTTATCCCATTTTTAAAAATTGTGTTCCAAGGTAGGAATCTAACCTAAAACTTCCCACTTTTAAATTCAATTTGCTGTCTAATATATACAAAAGAAAAGCCAGTAGTGTTTGTGTTGGGGTAAGTGGTGAAAAATTAAGAAGGAGGGAGGTAGAATTTTTATGCTAGAAGATACAATTTAAAAGACAAGAGCCATGCTCTTGCCCACCTTCCTTGGCTCTGGATTTGAAGGTCTATACAGAAGGAAGAGAAGAGTAAGGGGGGATTCTCTGCCTTGATAGCACAGACAAACACAAAGTATGTTAGCTCCTGTCATGCCAACTGGACGCTTGCTGGACCTGTCTCATACGTGTAGATCAAGAGGCTGGCTCTCCCTCAGGAAATTTCCTAAGTTCTATAATGAGCTCATTGCTACACAACATGTTATCCTCCTGCAGCTACAAAACTCCTTCATGAGTGAATTAGTAGGATTCATTAGAGGAACGGATTTAACACAAAATACACTTGTATGATTATACAAAGGATTTACTAGGTAGGCTTATGGGATGAGAAGCAGAAGAGTCCTGGAGGCCATTTTCCAGATCAGAGATGGGAGAATGAAAAATGGCCACCTGCATGCAGGAGGTCCAGGGGATCTAGTTGCAGGTTAAAGTTTGAAGGCCTAGAGCTCACTGCAGAGTCCAGGGTGAGTCTGTGTAGTAAAACTGGAGGATCTGCACTGGAAGGCTGACGAGTCTACTCTGAAAGCCCAAAGGAGCTGAAGACCAATGTCCAAAGGCAATGACAAAGACTTCAGTTCCTGAGAAGGAAGAGAGGAGACCTCCTTCTTCTTTCCCTTCATATTCCATCCAGATCGTAAGCCTATTGTGATCCAGGGTGGCCTACATGTCAGTCATCTGCAGACACACCCAGAGTTTTACTGATCTGCGAAGTGCTTCTGCCTCAGGTTAAGTTGACGTACCACAATTAATGATCGCAGCATGAATAGAAGCTTCATTCAGCCCTTCTCTGTGCTGGTTTTGTCTCACTGTTGTGTGGGGTCCAGCCAGTCCCTCCGAGGAGAGATACAGGATCCTGAAGGACATTTCTTCTGAAGAACATATAAAGGTATGGAGGATACTAAAACCCAGGCAAAAAGAAAGTGGCTTTGAATACTTGAAAGGCTATAAAATGGTCTCCCAAAGGAGCTGTGTGTGGTTCTGAGGGCAGCAAAAAGCATATTGGGTATCACAGGGTAGCAAATTTCCACACAGTATGAAGAGGCACTTTCCAGCAGTCCCAGCTGGTTCTGCTGTGGGAGGCAGCAGGCTGCCCATCACCAGAGCATCTGCGAGGAGGCTGAGTCCTACTTGCCCTAGAGGACTGGGAGAAAATTTATTCCTATACATGAGATGTACTGTTGTGGGGACTTCTCAGGTCCTTCCCAACATAGAGAATTTATTATTCTGGCGTGACAAACAGGTATTAAAAAACTTCTGGGTAAGAGACACTATATTAATGCTTTGAAGGACGAAAATAAATAAGGCTTGATTTGGGCCTTCAAGTGACTAGTGGGCTAAGTAAATAATGTATCTCTCAAATTCCTCTTTTATACTTGATCTTAAAGTCAATTAACAATTTTTTTCAGATGAAATAATATACATTTGTTTAAAATTTATTTCTCACCTTGAGTATGCAAAATACAAACCCCACAAAATGTTCATAAAAACATGGAATGCTTCACAAAAACGCATGCCATCCTTGCATGGGGGCAATATTAAATCTTCTCTGTATTGTTCCAGTTTTAGTACATGTGCTGCATAAGCAAGCCACAGTTTTCACTTGCTGATTAAGAAATTGATATTGAAATGATAAGATGAATGTTGGACCGGATGTTGCACAAGATAGAATAGCAATGCTATTCAAGGGTGATGCTGATATTATATTAAGGTGGCTTTTAATTCAGGAGATATAAATATGATCAAAACATAGCCTAGACCTGTCATCTCTTCATAAAGTGGTTCTGAGGGCCATAGACAAAGGTCAGTGTGAATCAAAACAAGGTAAAGTGACGCTGTACATATCTGTAAGGTCTCAATACAAGATTCCAATGCCTAGACTATATCGCTGTTCTTCCTGAGTTAGGTTGGCTTGGATGGCCTAAATAAAAGAAGCTGTTAGGCCCATCTTTTTGTACTTCCCATAAACCCAAATCCTCATCTCTGACTTCTGCTGTAATGGACAACAAGGAAAGAGAAGTCTTTGTTCCGGTTCCACACAGCCTCTGCTGATGTGTTAGGCCTTCTCAGTCCTGAGCACTATGCTCTGCGTGCCAGTAGAGGAAGAGGTAGAAATATGCTCACACTAAAGTCAACAGTGACCTCCTGGCCTGTGACTGGATCTTTCGGATCTCCAGTGTGCAGATGGCCTGTTTGCACTCTTCCACACCTACTCTGCACGCAGCCATTTATTGGGTTTAGAACCCAGAAACCTGTATTTGCTGTTGTACTCCCAGCTTTTTTTCAGACAGGATCTCACTGAATTACCCAAACTGGCCTTGAATTTGTGGTCCTCCTGTCTCAGCCTCTCCAGTAGCTGGGATTATAGGGATATGTCACTGACTGCATGCTAGGTCCGTCAGCTGCTGGTATTGATTGCTTTGATAAACCATCACACTATGCATATTCAGCGAGTGTAAGTTTAAAAGTAAACATTTTTAAGATGGGTGTGTAGGTGCACGCTGATAACCTTAGCACTTGAGCAATTCAGTGACTTTGTGAGACCCTTTCTCAAAAATAAAAAGGGCAGGAGATGTAGCTCAGGGCAGAGGCCATGGTTTCCCCGGTGCTTCAAAAATGAAAAGTAAGTGTTTTAATGTGCTGCTGTTGTGGCTTGTACCTAGATGTCCCCCCAAAGTGTCATTTGCTCATAGGGGCAGCTTTTGCGAGGTGGCTGGATCATGGGTGTGTGTCGCTGGATTGTGGCTGTGTGTGGTAACCGACCAGTCCATTGATTGGTTTAGCATAGCTGTGGGTGGTGGACTTACTGGAGAGGAAGGGACCACCCTGGGTGTGGGTGGCACCAGCCAGTAGGCAGCCTGAATGGAATCAAAGGAAAAAAAAGAAGAAAGGCTTGCTTCTGTTTCTTCAGAGGAGCTGTAGTCTTCGCTTTCACCTTGGCTGTCCATCTCCTGGCTTCCAGTGCACACTCTTCGGCTTCTTGGACACAGGGCTCTACGGTGAGCTCCAGGCCCTTGACTTCTGACTGTGTCTTTCTGATCACCAGTGCGTACGCTGCCCTTTTGCACTCTTCCACACCTGACTCCGCAGGCAGCCATTATATTCACTCTCTTTCTAGACTCTTGGCCATTTCCAAACCACAAAGCAGAACTAGTTCAGATCTGTGCTGTGCGAAAATAAACCTAGGATCTGACACAATGGAATCTGCTGACTTTGATGTAGTAATTGAGGCCATGCTGGAAGCTACCTATAAAAAAGAGGAGGATAAGCAGCAAAGGAAAGAGGTTAAAAAGGATAGTCCTAGCAAGACCATCAGGAGCTCCAGAAACAGCAGCAGGGGTACCAGCAAGAGCAAGTCCACCGGGGAAACAAGCAAGAGGAGTTGGAGCCATAATAGAAGCAGGGATAGAAAATGTAGTTGTAGTAGGGACCAGGATTGATACAGAGAGAGAAATGATAGGAGCTGAAGTCATGATGCAGCCCCAGCTGGGGCAGTGAACATAGTAGTGAGTCACAAAGTCCTGATTGATGTCGTGAAGATAGTGTGAGCTTCAGGAATCCTCCACTTGCTACTGAGCTGAGCTATGGGGGCAGTAAGAGTCCTCATTTCAGAGAGAAGAGCCAGGTCAGGAAGCCAGTTGATAATCTGAGGCATTAGGAGTGTGATAGCTTCAGTTTTCTTTATGCAGTTGGCTCAGCTAGCTGCCCACATTAGGCCTGGAGGTCTGGAGAACTATTTTTATGCTCTTGGTAAAGCTGGTTATGTGCATTTAATCTCAGATTGGAACTCACATGGATCTAAAGGCATTGCCTATGTGGAATTCTGTAAAATCTGTTCTGTGCCACTGGCCATTGGAACGACTAGGCAATGGCTTCTGGGAGTGCCTAGCATTGTGCAGGCCTCACTAGCTAAAAACAAACAACTTGCAGCCACTGCCAACAACCCACAGAAGGGTAGTAATGTACTATGGTCTCTATGTGGGCTCCTTGCATTTTAATATCACTGAGGACATGCTCCAGGGAATCGTTGAGCCCTTTGGCAAAATTGTCCTGATGAAGGATTTAGACACAGGTCACTCCAAAGGTTATGGTTTCATTACACCCTCAGTTCTAAGTGTACCTGGCTGGCCCTGGAACAACTGAATGACTTTGAATTTGCTGGTCGGCCTATGAGTCGGTCATGTGACTGAGTGGTTAGATGGTGGCACAGACATTGCTTTTTCTCATGGGGCCCAGGAGCTACATCTGAGATCAGCAGATGGACATTTGTGGCTCATGGCTAAACCAGCAGAAGGCTCTGGGATTCAGCTGCCAACTACTGCTTCTCAGGCAGCTGCCTTGCAACTGAATGGAGTGCTTCCCTTGGGGCGTCTGAGCCCAGTGGCTCTGTCTGCTCTGAGGACAGTCCTCAACCTCATCTCCCAGGTAATTGCACCCTAGTGCTTCCAGGTCTCTGGTCTTTTTACCTCCCAGATCATGTAAATGAGTAACAGCACGATACCTCCTGCCACTTCCTTTTCTGCATCTACTCTCCTACTGCCAGTCTTCTGTTTTGTGGATCAAGGCATCCTGACAGCATGGACATTGGCTCTAGAGAAACTGGGACCACCCTTAGAAATGAACAAGAGCTACTGCTCATGTCCCTTTGGGAATGGACTTTGCTGAGCAAAGCCTCCATTGAAGATATCAGAATCTACACCTACACTGAATACTTGTTCTGTGTATGGTCTCTCAAGATGACTTTCTGGCCTTTCCTTTCCACACCTTAGTAATTCCAGAACCTCCCCCACTGGGAAGACCATAGGGCATTAACTAAATGAAATGAAACTCTTGTTTTCCTGCACCTTTACCCTATACCCTGTTAAGGAAAGCTGGAGGACCTCTGGGTCTAAAGGACACCGGAATACAGAGTGTTCAACTTGGAAGTTCTGGCTTTTTGCGCAAGGGCCCTGGAAGATAGCTTGGACATGTGCCTTGTGAGGCCTGCCTTAGGTGCAGCCTACTACTGTAGGTTATCTTGCTGGGAAGTATGGGAGTCACCTATCCTGCGAGGCAACTTGGAAGTGTTGGGGGCTGTGGGGGTTTAAGAAAAGGTGGGGTACTTTTCTAGTATCTTCATCTTCCTTTGTATACTCTTCTATTCCAGGTCCTCCCTTTGGCCTAGGGTGGGAGGATGGAGGGGGCGGCTACCGTTCTTCATCACTTCCTGTGTAGTACTGTTGTGGCCTCGATCCTCATGGTTAAAGCCACTCCTACCCTACCTTGGCATGGTATAAATTCTCACAGGAATTTATACCCTGTGTTGTGTATATAAATAAATATATATAGAAGAATTGACTGAGCATAAAGTATGCAGCAGGCATACGCATGTCTGTATCTAATAAATCATAAGGTTTGCTCTCATAATAACTCTGTGATTTAGGAATTCTTACTAGGATAATAAAATGTTTTGCTTCAGTGTTACACAAACATACTTCTGTTCAAGCTGTGGCAAAGTGTTTAAGCACATACTTCTGTAAGTGTAGTCCTTAGTAATCTGTGGTGTGCTTATATGTCACAGGTGTGTTTGATCTACACATATTTCATGTATCTTCTTCGCCAATACCAAGCCCTGGGTAATTCTTTCTTTCTCTGCTGCCATTCCTAGGCTGTTAGAACGTCTGTGAGTAACCACAAAGCCATGCTCCCAGGGTCCACTCTGATGCACGCCACCTCGCCAAGGCTGGACTCTCCCTACTACTGTTCAATCACTTTATCTCCTGTTCAGTTGATCTATTTCAATTTTTCCACATTGCTTAACCCCCATCACCTCCCTTTCTCCAAGGCCACTTTATTCTTAGCTGATGGCCATTTTGCTAGAATATTATTCCCCCTTTTCTTCAAATGGATGCTCCTCTGACTTCACTCCAGAGACTCAGTCACCATAGCAACCACTGCCAGCTTTGGTTCATTTCCTCAGAAATCCCAACTGGAAGAGATGGCTGAATCAGGGAACTTTTACAAGGAAATTCTGGGAGCTTTTGATATTGGCAGCTGAAATCTCAAAGGCAGCTCTAAATTTAAATAACCAGAAAGATGTTAATCCTAAGCACAAAGGAGAAGCAAAGGGAGATCTAGGAACAGCCATATCTTGTCTGGCTAGCTTCTTTGGGGGAGTCACAGGTTCTATGAAGACACATGTAGAGGTCAGATATCCTGATATAAATCGACATTATTATATATTGTTTAACTGATTCGACTGCACAGTAAGGGAATAACCTTAAAAGGAAGAAAATAAATATTTCATGTTGTTTCTCCCTCAAGTATTAATTTCAAAACTGATTTATGGAATTGTGTGGGTAGAGTGTGATAATTTAAGCCTATTCTGCAAGCATTCCTTGCTCTTTGTGTCAGACACTGTGCAGTTATGAGAAGGGATGGGCACAGTATAGAATCTGTGCTAATGGAAGAAATATACACACTGGGGAAAAGTATGAGTTTCAAACTAGATCACGGTCAGCTCTTCCCAAGATCCCTCCATGACAAAACACATGCATGCATTTGAAAGCCTACGTGGGAAATCTATGAATTTGAGGATTGTAGTCTTTGT